GGAGAATCCCAGCCTTACTTATTTAGTATAAACCAAAGTAATTTTGAGGCCTTTCTGTCTATCACCCTACTAAATACTATCTGTGCTGTAGTAGATATTAGGGGTGAAACCAGAGCCCAACAAAAGCTTGGCATTGCCTTCAAAGGAAGCAGAGTTTCACGCTAGGACCTGACTTAGATCTTGTCTCAACAGGTATTATCACAATATGTGTTTTTGCCAAAATTGTAAAACTCCTAATAAATAAAGCATAGAATTTACTTACCAGTGACTCTGAAAGTCACTGCTTTCTCAATGGCTTTTGAGTAACGTGTTTAATGTTGTGGTAACTATCTGCAACATCTGTCTAGTACAGGGGTATTCAACCACCAGCCCAGCAGGCCAAATCCAGCCTGAGGAGTCATGGCATCTGGCCCATGGGGCTCCCCACAGGTCAGGAAATTTGGCGGTGGGGAAGCAGAGGCAATTAACACTGTCACCCTCTCCTGCTGCCAAATTCCCAAGCCCCGTGCAGCAGGTTGGAGCTGGGCCATACCCCTCCCCCCTGCACAGGCAAATTAGGGGCAGGCCACAACCATTTCCCTCCACACAGCCAGACTGGGACTGGGCCATGCCTCCTTTCCTCCGCCTCCCCCTACCCGGTTCCCTGGAAACTGGCCATCCAGCCCACTGGGCAAAAAGACTGAGCACCACTGGTCTGGTTTAAAAAAAACCTACTATATTGGTGAGGGTTAAGTAATGCAAAATTTTGAAAATGGAAAAAAAGATTAAACCAGTTTCTGAACCAACTAAAAACAGAGAAGATAGAGAGAAATCAAATAGTCTAAGTTAAAAAAAAATCTGCCATTTCCTTCCAGGACAGCAACTTCCATTAAAGTGCTTTTCTTTGCAGTTATGCATGGGTGCCATTTTCATAAGCACCTCAGTGACTTATAAGCCTAAGTCCCATTTTCAAAAATACCTTAGGAACTTAAGGGATGGACTATACGCAAGTTTTCCAGGTATTGCCATACTGGCTATTCCCAAGTGTATATTTATACAGCAGAAATGTGTATTTGCTGATATAGCTTACACCAATTTGGTGAGTGAATTAAGCAGTACTAGCAGAAGCACATTTCTGCTGTTATAACTGCATCTACAGTTGGGCTTTCTGCCAACATACAGATATGATAAATTCACCTCACCACCAATATTGCGGCAAAATATTTGAGTGCAGATATTAGCATTTTCTCACTTAAAGGCAAGAAAATGTAGGTGCCTAAGAGTATGCCTATGCAGATTTTTCAAGCCAACCCTAAGATCTGCTTCTAACCAGTTCAGGCCAAGTGAGCTTCCCTTCCCCATCTTTATCCTCCCTTTTAGCCCACATCAAATCTGTCCACATTGTGCTTGTTCCTCAAATGTAGCCCTTTTTGAAATCAGTTGACTGTGGACAACTTTTCTCTCTTTCCAGCCTTAGCTCTAGTGATGTGCAGTTGAGACAGGAGGTGGGCTGCAGAGGGGCGGGAAGTCAGCAAAAGGAAATTGTGGGATTTCTATTTGTGGACTTCCTGTGCCCTAGGTCTGCATTGTGCTAAGCTTTAACCATGCTGCAGAGAGAGAGAGGATGGAGACAGGGAGTGGGTGCGACTTCATACCCTGAAGTTCACCAGGGCTGCTGGGGCCAGGCTGGACTATCTTCAGGGGCTGAGAGTGGGGGCTTACAGATTGGTTTGGGCAGACAGGTGGTTAAATATCAGTGTAGACATGCCCTTCGGGCCAGAGTCACTTTTGGAAATACCACTGACACCCAGATTTTTAAAGTTACAGAGGGTAGTAGCTTTCTCTATCGCACATGCAGGGACATGCAGTTACCCAAAGGTAGTTGTGAATGAGTGGCTCTGGAACGGGAAGCCTACTCACGTAATTAGATTACATGTCTGTAATTACTGGAACAGGGAACCCTCGCCTTAAATAGACTTGCCCTCAGGTTGCAGGGGCAGTGGAGTCCTGATCATGGAGAGGGCAGGATGGTTGTGCTGGCAGGGGAGAAGGCCTGAATGAACACTGTGAATAGCTCCAGAAGAGCAGTGAGTTTCATTGCTGTTTTCCCTTTTTGTTTCTGGGTGGTTTAAGCATCAGGCTTGTGGGGTAAAGCCAGGAGTACAGATTGTGTTCACTGCCCCAAAGCAAGAGAAAAACCTTCAGTTTGGATTTTTCCTCTTTGTTTTGTAATGGGAGACTGGAGGACTGAAAGCAACTGTGAAGGGAGGAGGAGGTCACTGTGCAGGTGCCTTAAAGTGCCCTGCATGTTGTCACACCTTGAAAGCAAGGGGTCACAGCCTGAGAGAGAGAAAGAGGGGTTTTAACCCCTTTCAGGCAGGCAGAACCAGGAGGGCCAGAGCCCTACTTGGAGTCTAATCCCCAGCTGCGCTGCTGCTACCAGAGATCTGAGGCCAGACTGAGTAGGCCCAGGGCTGATGGGGAGAGCTACAACAAATCAGGCCCTGGCTGAGAGAATCAGAGCCTGGACAAGTGCAAAAAGGGGGAAGCCAAGTGGCCCAAAGAAACTCCCACTCTCTCTAAGCCTTCAGATGCTTCCTGCTTAATTGATTTCATCAAGGCATGGCAGGCGAGACAGAGGGTGGCAGATCAGAGGAGCTAGGAAGCAGGGGGGTGGTGCACACTAGCTGGCTGTTGGGAGCACACAACCCACCCCGCTGCAGGACTAGACCTGCCACATGAGATTATCCATTCTCTTGCAACACAGTTTTCCTTCAAAAGCTAAAACAAAAATATGTTGCCAGAGATAAGTCCCGTTCTGAAATTGCACAGACCCTTCACTCCAAGGGGTGTCATATGGATGTAGGGAAATACACAGAATCTGCCAGTCATGATAGGCCAGTTGGCTAGGTTTCTTCTCCAGGACTTTTCAGGTCCTGGAAATAGTCTAACCATCAGGTTAATTTATCCTGCAAATCCTCTTTTGTCTTAGCAGTGAGGAGGGTAGGCATACTCTTAGTTTAACTACCACAAATATCAGTGACCACTTTGACTTATGCACTCGTATCAAACAAGAAAAACGAATGTGCCTTTTGAGGGCTTGCTGAATCCAGTTCTGCACAAACGGGTATATTTTTAAAAAACAGTTCCTTAATGTTTCAGTCACATGACACCAATGCCCTTTAATGAGATCTCTGAACAGGCTCATTAAAAGAACTGATCTCAACAGGAGGTTACAAAGAATCTGTTTGCTTTTAAAATAACGTGTCATTGGAACAACACTTTTCTGAAGATTGTCCGGGGAAGTGGCTGGATTCTCATTTTGCATTTTAAAAACCTTCCAATATTTTCAAGTTAAAGTAATGTGGATGAACATGCCAGCCTTTCTCTCATGATGCTAGTTGGTGGGTTGGACTCTCACAAGAAAGAAAAGACTCACCCCTCCGACATGAAGCACAGACCACAAAACTCAAACACTGATTGTGTACAGGGGACAAAATAACAAACACGTCAGGCTGATGGGCAAAGAGGACGATGCCCTCTCTCCATCCATGGAGCAAGTTCAGCAGACAATGACAGTAAAAATTTCACCGCCCTCCTCAGGGGGAGTCCCGCCTTTGACCTGAGAAGTTAGTTCCCTTTCCATTGCTTAGTCAAATCTTTGGATTTCAATGTCGACACTGTCAACATAAGGGTTAGTAAGGGCTCATTGTCATGGTGACACTTGTGGGACACTGGTCCATGGGAACATGGATGCAGACCAAGCAAACTGTTTCATATAGACCAACAAATGCTAAAACGTGTCAGGTACTAAAATGCCAGGGTGAACTTAAAGCAGACAAGATTCTTTGGGTCGATGCGATACCTTTTATCACACAAGTACCGTTCTTCAGGCATAGGGAGACTCTGCTGTTGTGAACTTTAAAGGGTGAACTTAGAGCAGTGCAATGGGGAAACACCCTCTTCTCTACCCCATTAAGAACTTCCTCCAAACTATTCAATCCTGAGCATTTGATTATTCTGCAAGCCAGAAAGTACTGCAGAACAGAGGAGGCTGTCAGATACCTTTTGGGCACTTATATGCAGGGAGCCTGCTCTGCTTTTAAAATAAAAAAATCCAGGGTGTGGGAGCAGACTCAATTAATCACGTCTGCTGGAGCACGTAAACTGATGCACTCTGGCAGCCTTGTGTGTCACATGCATCAGTGGCACAGCGTGTCTCCGCGTTGAGAAAATGGCGGTGATGTGCTCTCAAATAAAATATATTTGATATGCTTTAGTTCAAAGCGCCCTGCTGCCATTTTCTTAGCGTGGGGATGCGCTGTGCTGTTGATACACATGACGCGCAGGTGCTTTTAATTAAAAGTGCCTGACGCCGTGTTGAGAGCACATGTAGAAATGCCCTTCCCATCTTCATCATTCCTGTCCATAGTAGGAACAATCTCCACATGATCCCCCAATTCACCCCACATCCATGTGTCTCATTATGTCATTCACGGGTATGTCACTAAAGTCTACCTGGGAGAGTCAAGAATCTAAAAGTTAATCAGTGAATGGTGAGAGACAAGTTTACTGAAGTGACTTTCAAACAAAATAGATCTGGCCAAAAACTTTGTGAGAGTGTGTTTTTGACTAACTAGGCCAGAAATCTACCCCTTTCTCCTCTTTGTGGGCTTCAGGCAGTCAGTTTTTCATCCTTGACATTCTGTTATTCATCTTCAATAACTTCTAGCCTTTTAATTATTTTTCATAGTTTCATAGTTGGTAGGGTCAGAAGGGACTTGCGCAGATCATCAAGTCCCACCCCCTGCCATGGCAGGAAAAAGTACTGGGGTCAAATGACCCCAGCAAGGTGTTCATCTAACCTCCTCTTAAAGACCCCCAGGGTAGGAGCCAGCACCACGTCTCTTGGAAGTTGGTTCCAGGTCCTAGCTGCCCTGACTGTGAAGTAGTGCCTCCTGATGTCCAGTCTAAATCTACCCTCTGCCAGCTTGTGACCGTTATTTCTAGTCACTCCTGGTAGTGCTCGGGGGAACAGGGACTCCCCCAATGCCTGCTGGTCCCCCTTGACTAGTTTGTAACAGGCCACTAGATCCCCCCTCAGCCTTCAGCCTTTTGTTGCCAGGAAGCTAAGATTTGGGGTTTCCCCTATCTCTGTCTATCTGGAAATAAGGAAGGCTCTTAGCTGGTTCCACTTCATTAATGAAACTCCAAAAAGGCATGAGTGTGTGTGTGCGCGCACTTGTAAATGCATATATCTGTGTATTTAAGATGGCAGGGGACGAGCATGTCTTTTCAAAACAAATTATATAATTAATTGCAGTACAATTTCTAATAAGACCCTTCAAACAAAAGCAAAAAGTAAAGAGCTGTGTCCCTCACCAAAAGTCTGTTACCTTGGAAGATGAATACTAGCTCAGTAAGCATTAGAGTTTGGGAAAAAAGTACTTCTTCCTCTCTTTTTTTCCAGTACAAAAGTCCAGGAAGTATAATTAACGTAAATGAAAATTAAAAGTGAGCAAAAGCTCAATCCAGCTGTCTGGCAGGGTCAGTGACAGAACGGAGGGAAGGAGGGAGGGAGGAAAAAGTCAACTAGTTTAAAAGTTTGCATGTGTCAGTCTGTGTGCCTTTCCCTTTAAACTGGTTTCAAATGTCCTTTGAACACCTAACTCATTACAGCTCTGCTAAAAATATCAAATATAGAACTTTCCCTTGCAATATTTCATGTTATCCTATTTACATGTTAATATTTTTGCAAAAAAATAAACAATGACACTTACACTGATTCAACCACTCAGCCTCTTTAAAAATAATTTAAAAAAATTAGAAAAGAAAGAAAACAAGTTCATCCCATAAATCCCACTCGTGTGCGATAATATGATGGCTAGACAATTCTTTCTGCCAAGACACCACATTTTCTTTCATTATTTTCTAGTACAAAATGTAAGCACTTTAGTACTTGACATGATATCTGTAAAGTTTGGCTTTGCAATCATACAGTTTTCTTCTTCTTTTTTAAGTAATTTGGAGCTGAGTTAAGGACTATGCAAAACAATTTATCCCAGAACAAGTAATGGAGAGGAGAGGCAGCAAAGCTTCAGAACTTTGTAATGAAAGGGGGAAAATATCAAAAAAACTAATCCTTTGTTTTCTTTCAACTTAAGCTGGCTACATGAACAACAAATGCTTATGTGGGTACAAAGGAATTTACCTTGCATAATCAGCACTGCACAGACTTGGCATAGACAGACTATACACCAGGCTGCAAGCAAAAAGGTCATCTATAAAGCTATGGAAGTGAGTGGCAAATGTAACTCGAAAATTACATAAGAGCGGCCTGGGCATTCAGTAAACTTGGGTCCTTTTTTTCCAGTGAGCGCTGGTAAGTGATGATGCGAAACAGCAAGTCACACAAAAGAAGTGGTATTTATCAGGAGCTGCATCTTGCCCTCCAGGAAGGAAATGCCGGTTGCACAGATCACAGATGTTTACCCTGCATAAATCTAAAAAAGTTGAGAGATTTGGTCCAAAATATTCTCTCGTCTGTTTGTGCTGATGTCCACAAGAGATCTGATGATTCACAGCTGTTATTGTGCTCACTCTCCAGAGATCATTCAACCCTTTCCCCACCCCCCTCCTTGTTTTAATGGCATTAAAAAATGACGTTCTCCGTTTTGGAGCATGTTGGCTAGCTGTCGTTACCAGGGTACTGCCGCTGTCCGTGCATTGAGTTTGGGACTGAATCCTGTAAAGGATGGCTGAGTGTCACGCAAACTGCTGCTGCAGAAACAGGTTTGACGTACATAGACAGTCCCTTAACCTCTCTCCTGCCACAGCTAAATGAAAGAGAGATTGCTTTCCTGTTCGCACATACAAAATGAGGCTTGGCTGATTCAACAACACAGAAGACTTTGAGAGCAAGCAAAGGCGATGGCCTCTGCTCCCATATTATCTCCTTCCCCTGACATAAGGTGGTGACTTCGGGTCCAATGTTGTACCCCCATAATTTGTACTAATTACGTAGGCAGTCCCCAGTGAAATTAATACTGAAGTCCATGGGGCCACTCCTGCTAGAAAAGGGTTTGTAGGACTGGCCCTGCAATGGGTATTAAAGTTCCTTTTCAGATGTCGTATTTTGCCTTACCTTTTCATTAACCTGAAGGCTCAAAAACTGTGACAGAACAAGTCGCAAGAATCACAGGATTTGCGCAAGAAGTTGAAAGAGTTGAATGATCTCCCCAGAAGCTTCTGACCACCTCTTCTGCAGTGCCTTTGCACGTGCCACAATGGATCGCCGAAGGAGATGTGTACATTATTATTCATATAAACATTCATTTCAATAGGTATTTGCGAGTCTTTCACCTTGCATTGCACAGTGGCAAAGAGCAAATGATCTACAACACTCTAATCAGCAGTTGTCATGGATACCATGTAAAGCTCAGCAGTGTTGCTTATGTGCCCAAAGTTATAGGAACTCCACGTAGTTTTCAGGGATTAGTCCTGTCTTCCCGTTCAGAGTTCCTTCCAACCAGCCAGGCTCCTGAGATGGATGAACTGAGGAGAGACAGAAGGATATTAGTGGCATTTTCTAGTGGAAAGAAATCAGGCCTTGTGCAGCCACAACAGATGCTCACTAAGTTTTGGGGCTCTTGCAGCAAACACCAAAGGTAAGCATGGGCTTCTCCCGCGTGAAGGAGACGGTAGCCTCATTTGTTCATGCTGCATCGTCCCTCACTAGGATAATGATGGGGATGAGGTATCTCCTGCCATTTCTCTATAGATGAGTTTCACGTCTTCTCTCATCCCCAAGAGAAATGCAACTGTCTACTGCAGATGTCAGAAGCTTGGACTCAAATTCATGCCAGTGAAGACCATTGGCTTCACATCTGTTACTCCAGGGGGTAGCTTGAGTCCTGATACCCAAAATGTGTTGCTCATTGTTCTCTGTCTCCGTGGTCTGTTATTTCTGTGAGAGATGTGAATATGTTGAATGTACATGTGTGAATCTAAGGTTGTTGAATCTGCTAAGGGCAATAAATGCATAGTTTTATTTCATGTTTACAATAAATGCCATGCTTGTCAGTCTGGTAACTCTCTCTCCCACCCCGTGTTGGGAGTCATTTATTTCTGAATATCTGTGGACAACATAATAGTTTCCTCCATTCTCTTTGTGTATCCCTAATATCTAAACCCCTTCTTGTTTCCTCCCTGCTCTCAAGATCCGGAGGGGATGTGACGCCTTTCTTTTGTCCTTCAGATGGTATAAGCAGGGTTTGAATTACACTTTGACTCTTGGGGGGTGGTCTGCAAAAAAAATTAAACTGGTTCATTGATTAACGAGTCCACCTAAGTGAAGGAGTAATCCGATTGGAGACCCCGCCAGGTTATGATGTTCAAATCTTACGGGCGGCTCTCATCTCCTATGAGGGGGCTCAGCCCCACTCCCCAGCACCCCAAGCTTCCCCTTACTTCACACCCTGGGTGTAAGCACAGAAAAACCCTTCTGCCTCTCCTTTTCTTTGGATACTAAAGTCTAAACCCATTTCCCTCCCTCCTTCCCGTGCTCGAGCACTTCCATCCCATCTGCTCTCTTCCCTTCAGCTCTGTATCTTAAAACTTCTTTCCCTGGATCCTCTTCTCAAATCCCAAGGTCTGGAACACTTCTCAGTGCCCCTCTCTGAGCCCTGCTTTGCTTCACTTTGTGTGAGAGTCTTTTAACCCTGGGGCAAAGAAGTTATATTCTTGTTTGCAGAAGCCATTGTGATGACGAGAGGATTATATAAACCTAGACATAGGCCCAGGCCAGCAGGAGGAGGAAGGAAGGAAGGAAGAATTATGAAGGAGCCATTGCTGTGTGTGTGCTGATAATATAAAAGGCAATCTCCAGAGAGAACAAGGCCTTGCTTTCTTATTTTTTTTTTTTTTAAATTAGGGAAACTAATTTTCTAGGGAGGTTGGGACAATTAAAGCACTTTCCCTCTCTCTCTGCCCTGCTCATTAACACAACTTCCTATGCTTGCTTTTGGAAAGCATTTCCCCGACAAAGTTTTGTAATGACTATAGTAGACTCAGAGGCAAATTGAGCTGAGCACTCAGGTAAACAGCAGGTTGCCAAATAATGACTGGTGTGTACACACGGGAGCGAGGGTGGGGTCGCGGAGAGGAAAATTACCATATTTTATTGCATACACTAAAAAACAAACCAGCTGCTGGAAATTGTAGTGCACATTATCTGCAAGAAATATGGCAACAGCAAGCTCTGTTGCTTATGGGTGAAACAGAAAGTATCATCTAAAGTGATCTACAGGGACAATGTGCAGGATCAGCTCTCTAACTGTTGCTACTGAGTTACTTACTATAAGGAAAGATCTCCCCCCCCATTCTGTCTTTAAAAACAAGGTGTGTAAAGATGTGCTGTATGCAAGAAAATATAGTACTTTACATAAAACAAGACTTTAAACTTCCCCAAAACCTGAGTTAAAATATTTGTTAAGCTTAAGCACATATGGCTAACTCAACTGTCTTGTGACTCTGAACTTCCTTGTTTAGGCCTAAACTAGTCTCCATAAGAAAAAATACCAGCGTTATCTCCAGCAAGGAGCCCAAAACTCTGCAGTATCATTCCAGCTATCTGAGACATTTGCAGTAGTTCTGGTAGGAGCCTAGAGTATTTTATTTTTTCCCTCCACATATGGGCAATGGAACAGAGTCTAGAGAAAGCACTTATTTCATAAACAAGGGCTTTATGCCGATGCAGCAGAGAAATACTCCAAACTCTGACCACAGTAAATTATCAGATTATGACAATAAATCAACATTTCAGAGTTATCCAAATTTCCTAGTCTGTAAAGACCTCAGATTTCTGCAGGATCTTTCCAGTGACCTGGTTTCTAGGTTGAATTCCAGAAGGAAAATGGGCCAACAAAAAATAAAAAACCCTGCCTACATAAGAACATCAAAAGTACTCTACACCCTCACACCCACACTATTCCCCAAACTTTCCCACATCAGCATTTTTTTTTATCTGCAGCTAACCTCTAAAATCCCCCCTCTCACCACACGTGCACAGTTCCCTCCGATTAAAAGGCATGTGCTCCAATCTCAAGCTACCCACTAAACTCCCTCCTTAATCTTTAAGCCCTGATACCCAACTACCCCTTCCAAATGCCAACAGAGACAACTCTGTACCAACCAATACCTCCCACTGCCTATGCACTACACAATTCAAGTAGATGCCTGATACAGAAAAGTATTTACTGGGATGCATGAGGGAAGAGAAAAAGAAGAAAAATATCCTATGTTCTTGCAATCCATACATCCCCCATCTAAGACATGTCCTTTGTTTTTTGGAAGGCAGAACAAGGAAAAAAAGATTTTTTCAGAGTTATGGCTGGAACCCTACCTGCTGCTGAAGACTGGTTTTCATGGTTGGATCTATGATTTTGAAAAGAGCTAAAAAAAGTCTTCAAGGATTTTACATAGACGACTGACCCTAAGCAGCTAAAAGATGGCAAAATTGCCAGAAGAAAGGTTAGCTTGATTAGTGGAACACCAAAACTATTAAAAAGGAGATACAATTGTTACCACTTTTGAGTAAAAAGCAATGAGCCATTAAGTTAACAGATTCCTTCAGCTGCCTGAATGGAAATGCTACTACTGTTGTGAGCAAGAATCGAAGGTGGAGCAAGAATCAAAGCAGGGTATTTCTATTATAGGTAGAAAATCAGTTTCCCAACATAAGACATGCATCCCAATTTGGAAGGAGGACTGATACTTGGGAAAAGAGTGTGGGTGGTGTGCAAGTAAATAAGGTACTGGGTGGCCCAGAAGTGTTCGGCATAAAGTGACTCACTGGAGAATCTTCTTACTCCCAACAGCGATTCCATCTTGTCCTCAAGGCATGAAATGCAGTGCTATCACTTTGAAAGCAAAGTGACCCTCCCAACCCCACCCATAATGCTGCATTAACAGATATTTAGATAAAAAATTGATTCTTTGGGCCAGAGCACCCACAACGCTAGACATCACAGCAGCATGGAGGCAACAGCTATGTGATTTCAAGAACTGGAATGATTATTTTCCATGAGATGGGGAAGAGGGATGAATTTACTTCAGGCCATTCTGAAAAATGATTTAAAATAGCCTAGGATTCCAGCAGACTTGGAATGGAAAATAATTTTATGTCTGCTTATGTGTCCAGCATGTTGCTTGAATAAGAAATGTTAACATTCTGATTGTTGCTAGAGAAGCAAAGTGAAGCACTTAGAGATAGGAAGTGCTTAGGTTTGTCTACAAGGTCTTCTCTTATAGACATTTTTTTTCAGAGATGTTCAAGGTAGAATATTTATTTATTCTGTGCTCAGTCATGATTGCTGCTATCAGTTCACAACAATCTAAAACAAGGAGTCAGCAACCTATGACCCATGGGCTGGATCTGGCCCACAGAGCCATTTGATCCAGCCTGTGGACATGGGAGGGCAGGGGGCTGGGTTGGTGGTGGTTGTCGCTCTGAGGATAACCAGTGGGAGTGGTGCTTTCCCTGTGAGGCTGTGGGAAGAAGCAGCCATGGCAGCTGGGTCCTAGCACCTCCCTGTCTGCCTACCCACCTCTGACCCAAACTGGGTTATTCTGGCCTGCAGCCTAAAAGGTTGTCCACCACTGATCTAAAAGAAGGTAGGTAGCTACTGAAGTCAGCTAGACACTTTGACCAGACAAGCCAGTAAGTTTTGTGGGGGTGTTCCTTTTGCTGACAGTGTGCATCCTCCAGTTTGCTTACTAGTAGGTTCTGTATGGAAATGATGGAGTCCGAATAAAATTAATGTGCATGAGAGACAAGACTGATCCAAAATGTAAGTTCAAACATTCTCACGTTTTGGGAGTGTTCAGATCGGAATTGGAGCTTTATGGCTCAAGTCCAGCTCCATGTTACATCTAGAGATAAATGTTTGCATGCACTAATGACTTAAGATGACACAAGGCCAGAGAGTGTAAACCAGCTCTAAGGATCACTCATAATTTTATTCTACTCCAGGTCCTATGTTAAAGATTTTCCCTTTTGGAGTCTTGTTCTTTTCCCCACGCTTGGCTTTCCTTCTCATCCAGTCTTCAGGCTTTTATCTAATCAGAGACCAGTAGTCAACTTAAGAAAAAATGCACTTGCCAGGAGTCCCAAAAGGGGAGCACCATCCTGAGAGCGTCAATTTTTGAGCTGAATAAAACTGAAAACAGTGTCACTTTTCAGCAGCAACACAACTCTCTCTCTTAAGGAGACATCAAAGAAACACCCAGAGAATGTGACTGAGAGCATATAACATATGGCAAGAATGGCCTCTCAGGGTCTGAACCTAGAGATGTTACACTCAGCAAAAGACTGTATGTGTGTGTGCATGCACACATGTAAGTCCAGTCTTCAAATTCCAGATCTCAATAAATGGCTCAAGAAAATGCTTCTTTGAGTCACATGAGCTCCACAAACTGTTCTTCAATTTCTTTAAAAAATAGACTAATGTTCCTTAGATAAATTCCAGTCCAATATATCAGAATATACCACTATGGTATGAAATTAGGGTACAAACTGAATATAACTTTTCCACAGTTTAAAAACTACAGCAGCTGGCAAAAGCAATCAGGACAGCTTTTAGATTAATTGCTTCATTTTGGTGGGCTTTCCCTTTAAAATGGGACTCGGAATTTATGGCTGACATTTTCAAAGGTATGTATTTAAAAGTAAGGAATTAGGGCTCATTTTCCTACAACTCTAGCTGAAGACAAGGAAATCAGGCCCTAAATCTTTATAAACTATGTTAAGTGCCTACACAGAGGTACATCACTTCCAGAACTCATGTTTAAATGTCAGCTTTTAATAAAATTATTGGCCACGTTTTCTAATTTGTGTCACTGGTGCTTACAGATTAGTGGTTCTGCTTCCATAACAGGTCTCCCCAACTCCACCCTTCAGGACTTCCTTCACATGGAGCTGGAAACTCTCTCTCATTTAAGTACAATGATAAGGGTAGAAAGGCTGAAAACTCTATGGAAGTCAAACGTGATTCTCAAGTGGAGAATCTATTCTAAAAACTTAAATTTACACCCTGAACATAACACTATTTACTGTTTTATTACCTGACTGATCAAACTAGCATTCCCAGTTAGATTAATTTGCTGATGCTTATACACTGCTTTCTTGCAAGCACTACAGAGCGCCAGTTAAAGCTAGTCCAAACTATGCATCTTTCGCCAATGTTTCTTTTAATTAGAAACCATTTTTATCGATACTAGGTTTTATAAATTCTCTAAGCAATAATAAATTTTAGACACTGTCTACTAGATTGTATCGCTTCTACATTTCTTCCCTCTAGCTACTACAAAATTATCTGTTACATGATTAGGGAATTCTGCACAAGTTCTCTATTGAATAATCTATCAGTTTTTATCTAGCAAACAGTATTTTCCAATCAATCTTGCTCGTAGTTAGCAGTCCTGTTTTCTATATGCGCAGAGAGGAGGGAACGTTTACTTAAGAAGACATCCATGAGATGCCCAGAAAGAGAAATCTCCCTTACTGATAGATAATTGACTTCCTCTTCTTATCAGATCCTCCTAGGAAAAATGTATATGGTAACTGCTTCCAAAATGACAACAACATACTAAATTAAAGGCAAAGCTCTTCTGGAAATTGATGAGTCTTTTCCAGGCAATGCAGTTACATCCAAGACAGAACTGAAAGCTTCCATTAGACAAAACATCTATTTTCTTGGTGTAGAAAAGTCCAGGTTTTTTAATAACAAGACCAATAAATTAACTAATTTCACTCTATCTATTACAACCCCAACTTTCAATGTGTAGGAGAAAAAGGACACACATTACAGCCTAGAATAAAACACTTGTTTCCCCTTTTCATTTGATAAATGAACCATTACAGCAGTTCTAGTACAATGTTCAGAAGCTAATCTATCTCATTTAGAAAGCTGTTCAGGGATACTACCCTATGAGGCAAGTACCAAGTAAGGCGTTGATCAACTGGTTCACAAGCTTTTGCAGCTTTTGTAGCTGGAGTTGATTGTTTTGAGCTTCCTCCTTACAAAGGGGGTTTAATTATGCAGCCCCAAATCCAAAGAATGAATAGAATGGGGCAACAAAGCAATAAAATCAGACATGGGGCAGTGCACTTGGATACACATACCCATACACAGAGTACAGCATTCAGAACTGTGCTTAACTCAGTACCCTGGCAAGTACCTTTTACCAGCCAATGTAATTTTATCTGGAGAATTGGGGCACATGTTTTCCAGGAACTATTATAAGTGCCAAGAACCAGCAGGAACAGCTGGCAGCTGTTGCAGAAGGAAAACAACCCAACTGAGGAGCAGGATGGGTCTTCAGAGTGAGAGAAGACCCACTAGCTTGGTTCTCGTTGGTTCACAATGGTGTATCACTGCACTGAGGCAAATGTCGTGGCCACACTTAGCTGTTTTCTAGAACTGAATATACAGGTACAAACTCCATATTCCTAAACACAGCCCTTACTGACCTGAAAAGGTCTGCAACCCTTTCATCTAATGCTGTGTTTTCTCCTATCATGCCTGCCAAGCCACAGCTTTATCATTCCCCTAAACCAGTCAAATTCATCTGGCCCTCTGGGCCAAAATCGGGCCCACAGACTCTCCCTTTCCCCCTCCCACACACTGGATCCAGTGCCCCCAGTGTCTGCTCTAGCCAGCCTAGGATGCACGCCACCATTCCAGCTGATCCAGGGTGAGCACTGCATGCAGTAGAGGTCCTGGACCAGCTGGAGCAGGGGCCATGTATGGTGCAGTCCTGGACCAGCAGAGTAGACACTGGACCTGACATGCAGAGAACCCACAGATCCCTTCATCCTCATGGCAGATCCAGTGCCCTATCTGGTCAGTGCAGGACTGCACTACTCATGGTACCTGCTCCAGCACCTGTGCTGCATGCACCACCCACCCTGGGCTGGCTGGAATGAACACATGCAGTGCACATCCTGGAATGGCTAGGGCAGACACCATGTGTGATGTAGTCTCCATGGGCACTGGATCTAGCAAGCAGGGAGGGGGCATCCCAGACTGGCCCTGCACAGGTGCCACATGTAGCATAGGCCCTAGAGTAGGCGCCACATGAGATGCATGCCCTAGCCTTGCACACGAGGTCAGTCCAGTGCCTGTCACATGTGGCATGTGGGTCAACTGGAGATCCAGAGCCAGCATCAGGGAGCCAGCGGTTGTGGTTTCACAGGCCAGCCCTAGCCAGAACTTGACACCCCTGCCCTAGACAAAGACCATCGAAAGGGAATTTATTTGGAAATCATCAGTATTCTGCCTTAATTGGACAAAGCTGGTGTTGAAGAGACAACTGACGTTCCTGTCTTAAGAGTTGAGTCTGCAGCCTGCACTTCTCTGCTAACTACAGCCCTTTCAGAGAGATGTTACTGAGTACCGTAAAATACTTCCTTCCAGTCTGGGTCCCAATGAAGAACTGCAGACTTGAGACACAAAGGACCCTCCCAATCAGGGGTGTGTGATGGACTTAATATTTGTGTCCAAATAATTCTGTGTGCATCTTTCATTGAATTTTTAGCGTCATTTATGAAAAATGGATTTTGGGATCTGTTGCCTCCTACCTATCTCCACACTCACATTTACACAAACTGATTCTGCCCCCCGATGGAGACTAATCATGTACAGTAACTTGTTCCTCTTTGGCGTGCCAAACTCAACCCTCTGGTGCTCATCAAAAACAATATGGATGGTCTGTTATAATGAATGCTCCATGATGGCAGGTTCTCAGCTTCTCCAGCATCATTCTCCTGATGCTTCCTCTCTGCAACATTCTGCACTTGCTCTAATCCATGCCTATGAAACAAATCCCCTTCTCTCAAAGCACTCAGTTTTGATGAGTGCCAAGTACCTTCTGCAGGATGCTGAGCTTCCATGACTCCCAACAAAGCATTCAAGCTCTGCTTAGGATCAACTTTTGAGCCTCTTTCTCAAAGATACTGAGCACTGCAATTCAGATAAGTTATAGATATACAGCAAACTTATCCTTAAAAACATCTCTGCAAGCCTCATTTTCTCTGTAATTTTTAAGTCTCTCTCCCTCTGTGAAGCACTTTGTATTACGTGATATACTCAATGTTTGGGAAGTTGAGACTTACCATTATCGAATATGGTGCCTGCTTTGAAGGAGAGCTCTGAGTCGTGTTCTGCTTTGCAAGCATACAAGGCTCTGGCTTTCCGGAATGGCGAGCTGTAAAAATAAAGAATTTATTCAGCATAAAAGGAAAATGTCTATAAAAATATATTTATAACACAATTTCCCTCCCGGTCTCTTGAGAAGCATATTGATGAAGCTGCCAGATGGCAGGGCTCTGGGGGAAAAGGTTGCAGTGGTCAGGGGAAAAAAATGAGAAATATTTCAGATGAAGCCGAACTCTCACAGAAATCGTGACTGCCTTCAGAGGCACACTGCACCATACTGGAAACATCAATGTGAGTGCAACCGTGGCATTCAGGATCAGAACATCTATTAGGTTGCCCAACACACTGAGCAACACTAAATCAGAGGTCACTGGAAAGAGAATTAAATGAGGGCAGAGCAAGCTGGGAATATTTTGTGACTCACTGAGGAGAAATGTCTAAATAAATGCCCACTTCCTACTTGAGGCAGGCGGGGGACTTGATTAACCAGTCCCTGACTCGGTATATTAGCTGGTTTGATTTTGACTTGATTAACCTTTCCCTGACTCGGTATATTAGCTGGTTTGATTTGTTTCCAGTATCTGCCAAACAGGTGACTCTTAAAAAGCTCATTTTCCAGCTGCATCTTTCCATGCCCATGGAAGAAATTCAGGCCTGCAGAGAAAGCACTTCAAAACAGAAAGAATAAGTATTAATATTAATAAAGTATTAATAAAGCATTAATAAATTTGTTGGCCTCTTTAGAACCTGCCACTTGAAGTTATCAAAGACTGTTACAAGTGTTAACTTCACAATGGCGTCCCGAAGGAAGATAAGTATTACCTACCTCAGACAGTAGGGTAAACTAAGGCAAGGAGTTAAACAGCAAACCACTTCATAAACTGAAGTGCATCAGGTTTCTAGTCCACTGGGGACATATTAACCCTTCCTTTCACTTCTACTCCAAGTTTGAACAAGACTAGTAAAACAACAGTCCTGGTGCAACAGTCCAGTTCCTGCCTTTGGGGCAGGGGGCTGGACTCCATGATCTCCCAAGGTCCCTTCCAGCCCTAACGTCTATGAAATCTATGAAACCAGGGGAAACTTGAATTCACTATTGTATTTTAAACTGTTATGTTGCACATACTGCAGCTTTGGAAATAAAGACCCTGAGAGATCCCTCCCATTTCATGCAAGAAGCCATGTTCTGATGCTACCTGCTAATGAGAAGCTCACCAGAAAACATAGAAGTCTCTTGCCTGAATTAGGAACAATGGAAGACAGGAAGCTTGTAAAGCCACGTGGTCAGATGTGGGAAAATGTGTCTTACTGATTTCTTTTCTGGCCAGTCTGGGACATTAGGTTGTGCTTCTTCTCATCCAAATACTGTACCAGGGAGTGCTAAAACTTGTCAGTGAAGCCTTGAGAGTTTGTTCTTTGAGACAGTCAGCCTTCCAGTGAGCGGACGTGGAAGATGCCATGAGATCTGCATCCGGGATGTCAACTTGCGGCTTCGGGAATGGTGTCTCACGGCGGGCTTCCTGGACCACGACCCATACTTCAGAACAAGAGACATGCTCGGGTGGGATGGGCTTCACCTCTCCCCCGAAGGTAAGCATGTTCTCTTTCAGGTTAGCTGATCTCCTCCGGCGGGCTTTAAACTAGGCTCACTGGGGGAGGGGGAGGAAGAGGACCAAGGGAGCCACAGAACACCGATCCAAGAGACACCCACAAGTACAGCCCAGCCAAGACAGGTGACGAGCACAAGAAATATCCAGGTAAGAGACCGGGGCCCAGATAGTCCTGGGATTGGGGGGGAGGTGCATACAACCTCAGGAGGCCTTAAATGCCTCTACACTAACGCTCGTAGTATGGGAAACAAGCAGGAGGAACTTGCCCTCCTGCTAGCTAACACAAACCCAGACATAGTGGGGCTCACTGAAACTTGGTGGGATCCTACGCACGACTGGGCGGTAAACATCAAGGGCTACAGGCTGTACAGGAGGGATAGGACAGGGAGGAAAAGTGGGGGTGTGGCGCTCTACATCAAAGAGCAATACACATCCTCAGCAAATAGCACTGGGCCAGAGGAGGGGCAGACTGAGGTGCTCTGGGTCAGAATACAAGGGGTTTGGGGGAAAAGGGACCTAATGGTGGGGGTCTACTACAGACCACCCAACCAGGGAGCAGAGCTGGACCAGGAATTCTCAGGTCAGCTCACAATGGCAGTGAAGTCAAGGGATGTGGTCATCATGGGTGACCTAAACTACCCGGACATCTGCTGGGAAGAGCAGTCAGCCAGGTCTGACCACTCACATAGGTTCCTAGCCGAGTTACAAGACCTCCATCTAACCCAGGAGGTGCAGAGTCCCACTGGGGAAATACCTTGTTAGACCTGGTCCTGGCCACGGGCAATGATCTGGTGAGGGGACTGTGAGTGCTCAACCATCTGGGCAATAGTGATCATTGCCTGCTGGAATTTACCATCCAGCACAGGGTGTCAAAGGCTTGCAGCAGGGCAGCAGCCCTGGACTTCAGGAGGGCAGATTTCAATGAGGTAAGGAGACTAGTTGGGGAGGCACTGAGGTCCCAGACGGGAGGGGAGTTGGGAATCCAAGAAAAGTGGTCGTTCCTTAAGGAGATGATCCTCCAAGCCCAAAGGTGACATCCCCATGTGGATCAAAGGGGGCAAGAGTGCTCAAAAGCCCCCCTGGCTCACCAAAAGCATCCAGGAATGTCTCAAAGCCAAAAAGGAGGTGTACACCCAATGGAAGGGAGGGGCCATCACCAGGGAGGACTATACCTCCATTGCTCGAGATTGTAGGGAGGCTGTTAGGAAGGCTAAGGCAGAGATGGAACTGGGACTAGCGACCCGGATCAAAGATAACAAGAAATCCTTTTTTAAATATATAGAGGGTAAAAAGAAGGTACCAAGTAATGTGGGGCCTCTGCAGGATGTGCTTGGTAATCTGATGGTAGCACTAGATGACAAAGCTAATCTCCTTAACAGATTCTTTGCTTCCATTTTTCTGAGCAGGGACAGGGACATCCCCTGCACTGGGATCCCGGATGGCCCCAGGGGAGGTGCAGGGTCAGTGAGGACCTAGTCAGGGAATATCTGGAGGGATAAGATGTGTTCAAATCAGCAGGTCCTGACGATCTCCACCCCAGAGTACTGAGGGAATTGGCAGAGTTCATTGCAGGACCCCTGGCACAACTTTACAAGCACTCGTGGTGCTCTGGCAAGGTGCCAGAGGACTGGAAAAGGGCCAATGTGGTCCCCATTTTCAAAAAAGGGAGGAAAGAGGACCCAGGAAACTATAGGCCC